GGGGGGGGGGGGAGCTCTGCTCTCATGATGGCTTTTCTCCCAAAGTTCCCATGGAGAATTTCTAATGGATAAAATGACCTACCTCATTGCATCTCTCTCTTTCCTAATTCAGCTTCCCCCGTTATTAATTTTTGTCATAGAGTATCCTTTGATGTTTCAGAATTACAAATAAGTTATAAATTTAGAATGAGCTGTCAGAGAGGAGGGGGGAAAGGGGCGACTGGATAAAAGAAGGTGAAGGGATTAGACAAAGAACATAGGTGCATAACCTATGGACACGGACAACAGGGTGGTGATGGCCAGAGGGAAGTGGGGGCAGGGGCTGGGAGGAGGTGGGCAAAGGGGGGGATAATGGGGACACTGTAATAGTGTCAACAATAAAAATAAAATTTAAAAAAGTAAAAAAATTATAAATTTAGAATAATAAATAAATTACAGTGGTTCCTTTTCCCAATTGTACAACAAAAGTAATAACAAACATTTTGTTAAAATCATTTGGAATTTTTATTCTTTAAAATTTTTTTAAAAGTTTGCATAAATTATATTTTAAATTACTCCCCAAAGTATTTTTACTCAGTTAATATGTTCATATGTTGGGGTTTTTTCTTTCTTTTCTTTTTTCTTTTTNAAATATATCTTTATTGATTTCAGAGAGAAGAAAGGAGAGGGAGGGAGAGGGAGAGGGAGAAATATCAATGATGAGAGAGAGCCATTGATCGGCTGCCTCCTGCACACCCTGACCCGGGCATGTGTCCTGACTGGGAATCGAACCTCGATCTCCTGGATCATAGGTCAATGCTCAGCTGCTAAGCCACGCCAGCTGGGTGTTTTCTTTCTTTTTTAACACCTGGCCTGGTTTCTCGTCAGAAAGAATACACTAACAGGCCACTAGAAATGTGTAAGTGCATCATCTATTCTCTATAAACTTTGATTTCTATTATTTTTATTTACTTTTCATGGATGTTATTGTTTTTACTTTTGTCTACTAATGAGGTAAAATTCTAAGCTTGGGGTTTTAAAACATTATTTGTATTTCCTTTTGTGTGAATTGTCTGACTACCAGGGAAGGATAGATAGCTCCTAAAATCATTAATGGAAAATTTGGGGGATTGTAGTCTCAGTCAGTGTTAAAGCAAAAGTATTCACAAAGACCAATGTTAAAAAAGCCATCAAGGACAACTTTATTCAAGACTATTACAAAAGAGGAGAGAAACTGACTCAGCTCTGAATGCAGCATATGGAGGGTAGGGGATTCCTGGGAAAGGCAGGCCAAGGACTTAGATATCAGGGTAGGGAATGAAGAACTTATCAGATATCTAGAATGGGGAAGTGTTGCTAAACTGGATTCTTTGCTGAAACTTGGCTCAGCAGATCAAGGTCAAGGCCTAGTGAGAAGAGAACTGAGAAGGTCAGCCTGTGTTGGTCCCTAGAGGGACCTGAAGTGGAGGTGACCATCCGGAGGCCAGGCTGCTGGTGTAGGAAGCAGCTTAGGGCCCAGTGCTCCTGGAGCCCCGTAACCCAGCACCCTCATGCATGAGACAGGAACTGTTCATGGATAATCGCTGGCATGTCACCCTGATGATCTTCCCAAGTCTGTCACTTTAAATGGGAACGCCTCAAGCATCTACCAAGAACTCTGTCTCTCTGCTCAGAAAAGACAAACACTCCAGTCCCTAGAGCTGGGGAAAGCCCAGCTGCAGGAGCTGACCCTGAATTTCTGGTTCTACAACTTTAGTGAGCTGTTGGGTTGTGTTTGCAAAGGACTGAGGTGGGAAGGTTGGTAAAGGGCAGCAATGAGGCTCTTTGAGTTTGATCAAGAAATGCCTTTTTCTGAGCATTTTCCTGGAGAAAGCTGAGGAGATACCTTCATTGCCTACTCTATGGTGTCAGTACTAATTTATAATTCTCTCTTTACTGCATTTGCTGTCTCCTTTCCTTAGCAGAGAGCCTTTTCCAAGCCCATGACCAAAAAACCCACTTTTTCCCTGATTTTGTTCTCTGTTCCCATTTGCTTCCCAATTTCTCTCTGGCTGTCCCTTGGCCATATTCTACTGTAACAGGCCCCTGTACAAATCCCTCCTCCGAAGGCTGTTTTGAGAGTGGGGAGTGAGGGTTTGGATGCCATGCAGTGGGCTCTGCATTTGCTGTTAGGTCTGATCTCTCGTCTCTCCAAGTAGCACTCTGCTTTTTTGTTTAATAATGACCCTAATACTTGCATAACATTTATTATAAGCCAATAAACACTGTGCTTTTTGTATATTAAGTCGTTTCATTCTCACGGCACCCCAGTGGAGAGTATATTGTTATGATACTCGTTTAACAGATGAGAAAACCAAGTCAGAGAGAGGTGAATTAACTTGTGAAAGGCCTTTCTGGCATTTCAAGCCAGTTATTCTGCAGGGTTTATACTATTAGTTTTTGCACTATAGAGAGAATAAAGAAAATTTTACATCAGAATGAATCAAGTGTATAGAAATGCACTGGGCTTTCTGGGCGTCATCTTGAAAGGAATGATTGTGCAGTGGCTCACTGTTTTCCAGAAGACTCTTCAAACTCAGAACAGGACTTGGACAAGCTGGGGGGCAAGTCCCCACCCCCTCCTCCCCCGCCCCCAAGACGGAGCTACCTGCCGGGATCAGGGCTCACCACCACCAGGTCCGGCGACGTGGTCTACACCAGCAGGAAGGAGACCGCCACTAAGGTCAGATGGGTTAGGCCCTGGTGAACGGGTCCCTGGGTTCAGATGACACCCTTAGACAGGGTCATCTCTGCCCTCACTTAGAACATAGAAAGTAGTGAGGCAGAGAGGAGAAGCGGAGCATCAGGTAAACTAGATGGGCAGAAAGTACCACCATGGAAACCGTCAGCCAGTGCTGCCGCCCTAGACACAGCACCACAAGTTTTATCCTTACTCGACTTTTAGCTGCATTTACGTGAAATGCAAACCACAAGCTACTTCCCAGCAGGTCATCGTGAGACTGAAAATCAGTGTAGCAGAGGGAAGCAAAGGGAAGACCGCCTGACAAAGGTAACTGAGACTAGCTACCACGGTTGTGGGCGTCCATACAGAAAGATGCTTACTGAGCTTTAGCTTGCACGTAATTTGGCATGTTTTGTCTTCTATAGTCAGTGTAAAATTCAAGTTTCAAGGAGAGGTAGTATGCAAGGGCCTTTCTTAAAGGCACTGAAGGTTGAGGAATTAGTTTTATTGTAACCATTCAGTCCCTTCACCAAAATGGTAGCTTGCATAAACCAAAACCCGAACTAAATGCAGGTGGACAGAATATTCCTTCAGCTCAGTTTGAAGAGATAGGAAGGCAGTTTACTAGGCAGTAAGAGAACATTAGGCAGTAAGAGAACATAAGTTCTTCCAGTGATTGCTTCCTCTCTTTGCCAGCGCCTGGGGGTGTTTAGCCAATATCTGTGGTTTGAATCTCCCATAGGCAAGCAGTGAAGATGCTGGACCCAGCCCGCAGGCCAGAGCCATAAAATGCCCAACAGAGGAGCCTGCTTCAGCCTGGACCCCATCCCCACCACCAGTCACTACCTGCTCCTCCAAGGATGAAGAGGAGGAAGAAGAGGGAGACAAAATCATGGCAGAGCTCCAGGTATGTGGATGCGGTGACCGACCGCGGCTCCTTGCCGTCCCATCAGGGACTCTCCGACTACGTCTCGCACAGACGCATTGGCTAAAGAAGGCTGGCAAAGAGCCCCGAGCCCTGTAAACATCTCCTGGCCTTGGCCTTGGCCTTGGCCTTCACTGGGCTCTCGGGGCACCTTTAGGGTGTGTGTAAGGAATGAGCATTTCACAAAACAACTCAGGAAGTTCACACAAAAAATCAACTGCAGGCTTTCCTAGCTCTGGCTGGTAGAATTTACTTTTCTTTCTTTTCGTGTTAATAGTCTCTGTTTCGTTTCAAAAACAATTAAAAGGAAATCAGAAACACTGGCCATTCTCTTTTCTTAGTAAGGACTGATGAAATCCCACTTCAAGCGGGGTCCTGTTATTTGGCTTCAATATTTAGAATGACGGAACTTGAGTCATGTGGCCTCCTTTACTCCATACCAGGCTCCCATTCAGTGTCAATTTCATCTTTTCAGATATTCCGAAAAGCTGAATAGTCTTATTTCCCATTTTCCTTGCCTATCTAAGAAATTATTGTTTATTTTTATATTTTTATTTTTAACTAATTGCCACAGTCCACTCAAAGGATTAAGGATAGGGTGCAGGGACTATACCCAAAACCGATCCCACATTCAAATCGTGGATGTGAATCTGCCCTGGATATACAATCTAAGAACTTGACTAATCAAAGACATATGCACAATTCTTAGACCAAAGTCTGTTCATAGAGTATTTTCATTTTGACCCATGCTTATTATACAATTTTTTTTTTTCCCTTCAGATGGTAAGACTACAACTTTCTTAGGGCTCCAAAACATGTTACCTTTTCAACCATGGTTTTGTGCAGGCCCAAGGATCTGCATCCTGCATTTGGAATGGGCAGAGCTTTCAAACCATGTCATTTCCACTGCTGCTGTCCTATTCTGCTTTCCATGGTAATGCCTGCCAAAGAGGAGCTGCTTGGATTTTATAGGGAACATGGCGCTGCTGGTTGATGTTTACATGCATGAGCCTTTTAAGCCTCACTAAAACTGGGACATCCCCTCCACCAATCAAATTATTTACAGGTTTTTAGAATGGCTGGAGAATTTCTTTCATAGGAATCACAGATTTATAAAGTTAGGGACTCATGAATCAGTGGAGAGCATGGAGGCATCCATCACTCAGTTATCCAATGAGGACCCCCTGGCTATTGACACTGGCATGTCAAGGCTACTTATTGCTGGGATTGGTGCATGTCCTGAAATGTATATGCAGATTCTGGGGCTGATCATTGTAGCATCTGTCCCCAAATTAGGGTGTGAATTGATCATGGCCCAGTTTGGTTCAAACGGATGACGGAGCACTAGATAATTTTAAATCTGTGCAAGGTGAACAATTACTAATAAGCAAAGAAGCGGAGACTTTTATTCTTGTGAATAATCCTGCACTAGCCTCCTAAGAAAAGTAATTTATTTGTTCTAGCCACTTAGAGTTCATCACTGAGAATATTTCCCTCCATTGAAGCCTGAGTATCTTTGATGCTTTCTTTAACTGAAAGCTTTACAAAAGCAGTGTATCTGGCTTCTTGTTTTATTATTGGTGGGTAGGTAATAGTGGTAAATGAAGTGCTGTAACCCTAATGTGACCAAACCCCATTAGCCATCCTGCTGGAGTAGGGACCCAACCTGCTACGTCAGAAAGTTGGCCAATGTCTCTAGTTAGCCCCCAACCCCAAGGAAGGACAAAGAAACAGCCTCAGCCCCTTGAGTGTAATTGTGGAACAGCTTTCCTGCTCCCTGTCAACAGGCATCATCAGGAGCCACAGGCTCCAAGTCCAGGGTCTAACAGCCCAGCAGAGATGGGAGTGGTCTTAGTGAGAGGAGCCCCGGGCATCTTGGGGTGCCTGGAACAGGGAGCCAGCAGAGAGTGGAAAGGCAGGCTGGGGAAAGTCCCAGGCATCAGCTCCATTCTTATTTTAGGACCAGTGCTGAAAAGTTCACTTGGGGAGGGCATGGGTTATTCTTTCTGCCTACAGTTATTTCCAGATGACAATATTTGACATTAAGGAAATACGAAAGAATTATTTGAGATGATTCATTTAAATACTTAATTTTTAATCCTGGCTGCACATTAGAATCCTGCTTACATAGGGAGTTTTTATTTTTTAAAGTCCTACAGCCCAGAGATTCTGATTTAATTATTCTCTGAGTGAGCCCTGGGTAATAGTATTTTTTAAAACCAGGTAATATGTTGAAAACCTCTGATTTCAAGAAACTTGGGTTCTTAGGTTGCCGTCTCTCCGGCCCTTACTGTCATACTGTCGATCCCTGGTCCCCTGTGGACATAGCCTGTGCTTTCGCTCTGAGAACTGGCCATCCTGGCTCCGCGCTCAGGGGTTGCGGTGGCTCCTATAACTGTGACGGTTTTAAGAGACAAGCCTAGGGCTCAGGCAGCTCCAAGGCCACTCGGAACCACATGTTCCTAAAGAGCATCACTTTATTCTAAACGAGCCTCAGAACACCTCAGAGCGCGGAGAGCACAACATACAACAGTGTGTGCAAAACTGAGGCATTCTCTTCACAAACTAAGGAATATGCACCTTTCAAGGTTTCCTAGAAAATCTGTCATTATTTCAAACAATGAATTGGTAAGGATTACTTTTATTTTAAGGTTTAAAGGTTTCTACTATCTTGTCACCTTTTCCTATAGCTTCAATAAAAAAAAAAATGGAGTCTGGTAAAAAAAATAATAAGAAAAAAGAAAGAAAAGGTGGTTTCTTGTTTTGTTTTAATTCATTTACATATTAAATGTTTTTGAAACGTCAAAACAAGAAGCCCTACTAAGCACAAACCAAGTTCACCCTGGACAGGAAGAAAGGGCGTTCGTTTCATTTCAAGGGCTGTGTCCTTTTATCTTGGTGTGGCCCAGAAATCGGGACGCCTTTGCTCCAGGCACCCCCCCCTCCCGCCCCCCACCTTTTCGGACCTGAGGCCAGAAGGGGAGCAGGTTTTCCAGGCGCTGCCTCCATGGCTCTGGTGTGACCCGCAGGCAGGGCCGGGGCGGGGATCTCCAGGCCTCTGGATTGATTCCCTGCCTGCCTGTCTCTTCCTTCCTCCTCGCTACCCTTGGCATCCTGTTAACCTCAGTATTTTAATTCCATAGGCATTCCAGAAGTGTTCCTTTATGGATGTAAATTCAAACAGTCATGCTGAGCAGTCCCGGGCTGACAGTCACGTTAAAGACACTAGGCCGGGGGCCACAGTCTCACCCAAGGAGAAGAAGGTAACGTGGCAACTACACGCTTGCCACGCGGTCGGACAGCCCTTCTTTCCTTGCTCTGACACTAACCGCTCCTGCGCCTGTCCTGTGCCCTCTCCTTTTTCTCTCGCCTTTAAAAAACGAATGGAGACACAGCTTTGAGTTTAGCTCAGAGATAACTGGCTGAGGTTTTCTGAGCAGACATATCATTCCTGTGCACAACATACAACAGTATGTGCAAAACTGAGGCATTATCTTCACAAACTAAAGAATATACACCTTTCCAGATTTTCTAGAATGACTCTTACCAGAAAGAAAGAGAGAGAGAGAGAGGGAGGGAGGG